CTCTCTCTCTCTCGTTCGCTCGCTCGCTCGCTCCGGCAAGTTTATAATTACCCCTAATAATCGCGCCGCTTTTTCCGCGGCCACCGATCTCGTTCGCTCGTCCGGATTATATCCGGCGTACGTTAAATCGGCCTTAAGTACCCATCGCGCGCGCCGATATTGTTTAAAGATACACACCGACACAATGGAGAGCGAACGGGACGGTCGTTACTCGTGGAACAAAAGGAGGGTAGCCGCCTGCTATCCAGGAGCACCGCGACTTACTTGTTGCTCTCGCCGGCGTTCTCTCCTCTCATGAATATCGCGAAGCGAGAACGACGCGAAGCGTGAACGAGAGGTGTGTGTGTGTGTGTGTGCGCGCGCGTCCACGGAATGGACAGAGATGGAGAGAACGGGAGAGACAGACGAGGGGGGTGAGAGGGAGGAGGGGGTCAGCGATCCTCGAGAACAGAATTTATCCGAAAGCCCCGACAATAGGCACCGCAGCGGGATCCGCCTTTGTTCGACGCGGAACAATCGACGAAAACGCCCCCTCAGAATTCATGAACGCGACAGCGCGTGGACTTTGATGCACGCCGGCGGGTAACCGGAGGGTAGAGCACGCGCAAAAGCAGAGCGAGAGGGAACGGCTCGATAAACATTGTCCTTTAATCCCGTCGGGCCCGCGTTCCATCATCGAATCCGACCGTCGGATATCCTTCCGCCGTGCGTCGCCGGACTTTTAATCGTTACTTTATCTCGCCCCCCTCGTCGCGAGGAATCGTCGGAGGAATCGCGATGACGGCGCGATTATTTCCTGGCCCCGACCGGCTCGGCCGTCGCGCAGACGGAGCGTACTCTCTCCTCCGCGGCGAAATCCGAGATCGATTTTTCCGTAAGCAGTAAGCTGACACATCGCGGAGGTCGCTTCGATCTTCGCGAATCTTCAGTCTTCAGCATCAAACGACAATTCGGTCTTGATTTCCCGGCGCTGCGTAGTTCCGTAAATGAGCTAACTTTCAAGTAGCTTACAATTTATCAACGTAATTGTTCGTTAACCGAGTTGTTTTTTCTGCGCGCGCGCATGGGGATTGCAATTCTGACGAGAGTCTACGAAATTCCGTCTTGGTTCTGCAAAGAGGGAGAAAGAGAGACAGTTAAATTTAATTTCCATTAAGATAAAGATTAATTAAAACCTTTGAAAAGCAAAATCGCGTTGTCCGCTCTCTCTCTCTCTCTCTCTCTCTCTTCGTCTCAATTGAATCGTCGTGAATTTCAAACCCCGTGAAAACTGTTTTGATTAATTTCATCTCCCGAGTGCTCGAGGCGAATTCGTCGCGCGGATATCCGGTACACGTAGCTCATTTTTCCGCCGTTATCATCTGAAAAGTACAATTCGGAACGCGTCCCCCGCGCGCTCGGAAATTAAGGCATTCGGGGGCGGATTTTTCGAGCAAACATTCGCGCGCACTATTCCTTCCGCAGACGTGCTTGTTTGGAGAACCGAATAAAGTACATAAGCTCCTCACAAGTTACGGTCGTGGCGTCGCGCAACGACGAGACTAAACCGGAGCGAGGAGGGCAGAGCTGACCCCCGTTTTGTCTGTTTCTCTCCTTCGCGCGGCTTTCCTCCTCATTCCTCGGCTCGGCTTTTCGGCCGGCGCTAAGCTGCAGATAAATGCGCGGAGATACGCGTCCCGATTATCGTACACTCTCGCTGCAAGCGCAACTCGCGCGTTATCGCGGAATGGCAAGAGAACGCACTCTGGTGTAACCGCCTTGTTTACCGAGGCGATATTTAAAAAGCCTCGTGCTCCACTCTCACCGTAATTCACCGTCGAATTTATCGTCACCGTTATCGCGCCGTGTCGCGCGTCCCTCGCTAATTAAGAGAGAAATCATCCCGCCGGCTAATTGGACCTGACCGGGTCGGGGAATTATCGGCCGAAAATGAACGCCGGCGCGTTCCTGTGTCACGGCGTGGATGTTCCCGACTTCGCCGCGTCCGAGATATTCTCCTCTCCTCCGCTTTGTGTCGGCGCGCTAATCGACGCTAAAGCGCTCCCGCGCAACGACAGCTCCCGGTGTTTGCGCTACTTTCTCGCTCTCTTCTAACCGTCCTACGAGCCGTTCCGCCGGTACTTAACGTCGAACAATCGCGTCGTTCGGGTACTCGGTGCCTCCTCGGCCGGAAACTTTCGCGGCCGCCGTTGTCACGCGGGGTCGAAAGGTGTTAGCGAAAACTCGCAAGTTTGCGGGGAAGCTTATGACGGCAGGGGGGGGGGGAGACGCGGTATCGGAGCGCGCGACGCCGGTGTCAAGCCGAACTGTAACTTCCATTACACGGGATTACGAGTTGAGTTACATCCCCGAGTGCATCGCAACTTTCTTCCTATAATGTATCGCTCATCAACGACGATGGAGGCGCAAGCCGACCGGCTGGATGTATCTTTCCGTGCTTCATCATGTATCGTGCATTCGGAAAATGGCGCGTGAACTACTTCTCCCGGCGGAAGTTCGCGAGCGCGGGGAGTGGCGTTTCTATTTTCGCTCGGCGATACGGACTCTCGACGGTGGGAAACACTTGCGGAGCCGCGTTCTGAAGTAAGGCGGAGAGCGACGGAAACGCTTCAACGCGACCTCGCGATAATCGCGTCGAAGGCCGCGAATCGCGCACCGATCCGCGTCCCCCGACGTCGTTAATTAGCCGCTTTACGATCCGCCCGTTGAATTCCGTCGTAATCGCAGCTCTATCAGCCCGCTGCGATGATATTCCAAGTCTCACGCACGCGCGCGCTTTCTCAGCCGGCCGTGTCGCAAATAATCACCGGCCGCCGGCGCGATATTTTCTTCTAATTAACACGCGGCCTGCAATAACGGGTCGGACAACGGAGCGACGGAACAACGAGAGAACGTCCGGCGCGTGCCGCTTCCTCACGTGGCGGAAACGCGCGCGCGGGATAAGTGCAGCGGCAGATAACGAGGTTTTCCGTAAAAGAGGGGACACGATTAACAAAATCCAATGCCCGGTACTCGCGAGCACGGTATTGTCGTACACGCGCGAGATTAATTAACCGGACACACTTTTCGGAGGAGGGAGGGAGGGTGAGCCCCNCCCCCCCCCCCCTCCCCTCGATTTCTCGTTAGTCTTCATTAGCCACACAACAACGACGACAACGCCGCCGCTATTCCCCGACGCGCCGAAGCAAACGAACGTTAGAGGAAGCGATCGATCGGTTTTTCCAGATCGGTCGATTTCACGAAGCCCGCCCCGCCGCCGGGCGGGTCGCCCGCGCGCCGGTTCGATTAAACGCGCATTAATCGACGTCGAGAGGAGATCTGTGCCCGCGGACCGGCGCGATCCAGGCCGAGTAACAAAACGCACAAAACCGAGACGGGACCGCATTTAATATCTCATCCGGCCGAATAAATGGACGAGAGCGCCGCCGCCGGCGGGATCACGTACGAAGAAGCAGACGAGCGCGATTAATGCAAACGGCGTTGAAAATTCAATTCTCCGCGAGCGCGTACTCGTGCGCGCGCGAATTAATTGACTCTGTCCAGCCTGGGTGGCTACCACCGCCCACCGGAAGCCCACCTTTTTCCCGCCCGTCCCACGAGCTTGCTTTATCCCTCTCCGTTCCACGATAAGGTGTAAAAGTAGCGCACCAGTGAGCGAGCAAGCGAGAGAGAGAGAGAGAGAGAGAGACCTTTAACGATACGGCGGCATCGATTTTCGATTGGCGAGAACGACATCCGCGAAACCTTCGATAACGACGATGCCACCCGTTCGGTCTCTCTCTCTCTCTCTCTCTCGCTCTCTCGCTCACTCCCATCCGTGTAACGCATACTTTGAGAGAACATTAACATCGATATCAACACGCTCGATTCTCCCCGTGAGCATCTTCGCGAACATTTTCGCGAGAGAGCGCGTAATATCAGTTCCCGCGGATTGTCTCTCTCTCTTTCTCTCTCGTCTCATATTCGAGTTACTTCCGCGGAGTGCGCGTTGCGCATCGCCGACTGCGAAAAGGGCCCTTCGTTTTTCATCAGCACGTTCCCCGGAGAGGGAATATGATATCGCGCTCACTGGCACCGCCGCTGCCGCCTGTGACATTCGGGAACTTAATAAGCCGCTTTGCTAGATAAATATGTCGCAAAAATTCGCGAGCAGGTTCCCGGGGCCCTCACTATATACCCGCCTTTATCCCTTAACGCCGTTTAAGTGGTCGGTTCAAATTATTCTTGAAGGATTAGCGCGCGAACGGCGCGCGAGCGCCGCTCTCAGGTTACCCCCGGCCGCTGTCTACCTCCTCCCTCGTCGCCCATTTCCGCTCCTCGTGGTTTCCNCCTCGTGGTTTCCCCCCCCCCCCCCCCTCAGCCCCCGGGACCGCGCTTAAAGAGGTTCTCATAAAACCGGTCCTAAGCGGTTTGCATTTTCATGAATAACATTCGTGAGCGGTCCGCTTTATCACCCTCCCTCACCTTCGCGATTCTCTCCTGCCGTTTTATTGCTCGCCGATGTCGCCTGATAGATGCGTTTTCGTACGATTTCGAGCAAGTGAATAGCGGCTGCGCGCGGCTAACCGGAAGAGAAACGCAATCTTGAGACACGCCGGTGATCCGCTTGAACTTTTAATTGCGCCCGAAGACAATCTTTTTCTCTTCGCGAGACGCGGCGCGCTTCTCGTGAACAATAACAACGTCGTGGAGAGAGAGAGAGAGAGAGAGAGAGCGGCGAGGAAATGTAATTAGAGAAGGAGAGATTCAACGTGCCGCTCAGCCGCCTCTCGAGCCTCACGATCCTTCCTGTCCTTCCGTGCCTCGTCCCCCGCGCGAAGCGAACTCAACAGCCGTATATTCGCGCTCGTCGATATCCTTCGTGCCGGAGATTCCGCCGGCGGCGCATTAACCGACCACGTTCCCTTCGGCGATTAAAGAGCGATTATAAACCGAGCGCGAAACGATCACGATCGACGACTGACGAGGGTAATTAATGGTGGTATGATATGAAACGTTAGTGCGGATGAGGGTTTCGACGGGACGTACCAAACAAACGTGGTGGTCACGCATAACGGCAGTTGCCTGTACGTCCCTCCGGGCATCTTCAAGAGCACATGCAAGATAGACATCACTTGGTTCCCCTTTGACGACCAACACTGTGACATGAAGTTCGGATCCTGGACCTACGACGGCAACCAGGTACACTACTGGCTCCACTTACACACCGACACACGCTCAAGTACACACCGAGAGCACCAAACGATTATGATCGATTATCCCTTGGATTCTTACCGAATGAGCTACACGCGCTTTCACTCGGGAATACCGGAAGCGGAGGGTGAATGGCTGATGGAGCGAGGGACCGCGAAATGTGGCCGTGCCGAAGTGCGACCGATGTGATCGCCGTGCGGCCCGACGAGAACGACGCATTTCCCGCCGGGCCTCGTAAGCGCGAGATACCCCGGTAATATCCGCCGGGGAAATTTTTATTGACCGCGCGATGAGCGATGGAGCTAATATGAGGTCTGGCGTCTGCGGAAATTTCCGCCCGACGCGGATTCCACGAATAACCGGGCCTTTGTACGAGTCAATTTGCGTGCGTGACGTGTGTCTTTTCAGCTTCTTCTTCGCCGAGAAACTTTGATCGCGCTTCTCCTTCGATCGGCCGTGACGTTATCCGAATAATACCGAGTCACGTCCGATCGGGTCACTGAGACTCGGTGAAATCGCAGAAATTTCCCGCGGCACAACTGCACCATTAACTGTACATCCGGCTTGATTAAATTCCCTCCAGCGAATGTGTAAAATTATCAGGAAATTACGATATTTAGCGGCGTGCACTGAGCGCGCGCGCACACGGAGATTCGCTACAATGCCGACTCCAATTAAGGCCCGCGGGCATTTTTACCGATTTCCGTGTACCTCCCTAACGAAGCGAATATAAAAATTAATAAGCAATTACGGGAGGCCAATTCGTCGTCGAAATCGCGAGGACGATAAAAACGCGCCTCAATCGCGACTATCGCCGCTTAATTACCGTCCAATTACCAATTACCGTGCGGTGAGGGGGGGGAGGCGCGTCTCGTTCGCGCCTAACGAGCTCGCGACCGAATTTCCACGGTGGCGCGGAAAACTGCCGGGGATTATCTCTATCCCGCGTGCCTCGTCGGCCTCCCGACCGGCGCTATCGACGTCGCAAATGGGGCCACTTTCGGTGTCCGTTCGCCATCAGGGATCCCCCGCTACCACTCGAGACTCGACCCAGCTCCCCCACCTCGCTCCCAGCCGAAACCAGAGAACCCCCATCCCCCCGCGCCCGTCACCGGGCACATCTCGCGGCTTCTTCTGTCCGACACAAGACTCACAGTGCAAAACACACAATAGCGATGCTCCATAGATAGCCGTTCTCACGCTTCGTAGCTTCAGCTCGGATCTATATATACATATTACATAGGCATATATATTATGACATATAATATTTTACATGTTACACGTACGAACACTACGTACGAACACACACGCACCGACGTATGTGTGAGCTAGCATCGGGAATGCCGCGGGAAAGAAGGAGATGAAGCGAGATAGGAAAATGTGTGTCAGGGATAGCATCCCCCCAGCACTCCGGAAGGGAATTTCGGCTCGACGACGTCCTCCTCCGTCGCGACTCCTCTCCGTGATTCGTCGCCCGAGCGCGCGAGCTTCACCTTTCTCTCTCTGTCTGTCTCTCTCTCTCTCTCTCGCTTTCTTTCCCGCTCGAATACATATGGGAAAATTTCGAGATATTTTCGACGGGGAGAGAGAGAGAGAGAGAGAAGGAAGGTAGATATTCCATTTTGCGAGCAGTTGACGGCGCGATTTCGCCGCTTCTCGAGACACATCCTCTACACGGGAGAGAGCGTGCTCGATTTTCAGAGAGTCTCGCCGCGCGAATTACAGCAACCTGGGGCCTGTGTTCGCACGTTACCTCTATTCCGCAAATTGTGCGCGGCACCCTGGGAGCCGATTACCGCTGCGGAAATATGCCGATAGCCGCGCGAGCGGGCTCGAATCGTCGAATTCGATCTTGCCATGTTCAATTATTCCCAAATTGCGGGTAACTTGAGGTGATCGCCATTAATGGAGCGATCTCCATACACTATTACCGTAACGCCGTTTCAACGCGCCGCATCCCAACGACAGCGCTTGTTTCTACGATATCGGAGAGGGAAGCTCGTGGATTAACTCGGATCGTACTCACCTCGTCGCACCGAGTCGCCTCGCGATGAGCCGCGTTTCTCGTTTTTTCCCCCCTCGAAAATTGATTCGATCCGCACCCGTCGCGAGACGCACAGCTCGGCCGTTCGATTCCGCCCGGCGTAATGAAGAAATTCGGCCGCGTCGTTTGATTTTATAGACGGGCTTACCTTAGCGCGTAATTTTATATAGACGCGGCAGACTTCGGGGCCGAGGGTGGACATTTTGTTAAACTGGCTCTGGACTCGATTATATCCGAATTGCGGGTAACCCGTGGTGACCGCCGTTAATGGAACGATCTCGCGGCCCCTCTCCGTAGATTGTGCCGCGGATATTTCAACGGTGCGTTGTCAACGGTAATTGCATCCACGGTGCCGGATAAATTGCCGTTGCCTTCGCCAAAGTGAGCGATTCGCAGGCCGCATATAATGCACTTTTCCGGGCGTTACACGCTAATTATTCTTGATTATCCTTTTTGCGAAGCGCACAATCGCCGGGACATTCACGTTCTCAGCGCTCGTAGTCTCGCGCTCGCGTCTTTCCTGCCCTCCGGGGGAGAATTACAGTCGGAGGTGGAAGAAGAGAGCCTCGTCTCGCGCGTCACCCCCTTGCCGACGACTTAATTTCTCGCGAGTTATCGATTATCCGCGCGGCCTCCTGCAATTTTTCCGCGAATTTGCCGAAAGCACTCGCTCGATTCCCGACGACGCGAGTTCTCTAATCCCGGATTAACTTCGGACTGCGGGAGCTGGCGGCCCGCCAACGCCGGAGTTTCACATTAGTTCATACGAATCGCGCGCTCACATTGTCGAATTTACGTTCCGCCTCGCGTCGACTGAAGTTCGACGACTTTCGCGCGATTTAAAGAAGGATCGACAGATCGGTCGGTGTGCGATCGCGACTTCGCTTCTCTCTCTCTCTGTTTTACTTCCTACTTTGCTACGTCGGTCCGTCGCACGATAAATTCCGCCTGCCGACGCGACGACTATTCCCCCCGCGCCGTCGGTAATGTGTGGAAACCGAGACGCGTCTTCACGCCAAATATCGAGGTGCAAATGCCGAGGCGACGCCACACTTAACTCGCGACGTCAAGTTTGCCGAACTCGTTCCCACGGCGCACAGTTTGTAGGGCGCATATAAACGCCAAATGTTAAATTCATTTTACTTACTGCGGCCCGGCCTCGACACCTCGCCGCGTCCATGACAGTTCCCGGGAGTCCCTCGGGACTTTCCGGGACGCAAAAAACTGCTACGTTGTAGATAAGCCAGTCCGTCCTGTCGAGTCATCCTGCGACGCGCAAACTTAATGAGTCGGTAAATCCCTGCAACTCGGTGTATCATCGACGACGCGACGTTTCGCATTCCGCGACTCCGCTCGATCACGAGAACACCGTTCCGCATATCATTCCGTTAATTGCTCCGCTCGTTAGATTCGCGCAACGCAACGGTTACCAGCGGTGATTTTTACAGCAACTCGCAATAGGGAATTTCCTCAAATCTAACTGCGATACAATTTCCCGAAATAATTGTGGATTCCAGTTGGGGAATCTACGCAGGCTTCGGTTAGAAGTGTAATGTTGCAAACGTACGATTCTAAATGAGAAATATAAACAGATTCTATTTGGTCACTTGTTGATGTTTTCCCAAAGATTTTTCTTGGTTTACGCTACGATCGAACAAAATGTACGAAACACTTTAAGTATTTATATTTTGAAGTGCACACACATACACGCTAATAAGCATAGTAACATCGACAATGTAATCCCGTTTATTCACCACTCGTGACCTCTTAGACCGGTAATTCATAATTATATTTTATATTTAAGATCGCCTTAAGTTTATTTCCAGATGCTCCGTAATGCTAATGAAATGAGCCGCAGTGTTAGATAATGAACTTAAGATAATTGGGTCGTAGGTAGTGCCAGATTTTCAGTGACGATGTTAAAGAGCTTCTAAATCAATTTATTGTTTGAAAACAAAAAAACGACTTTCATATCACTTCATTTAATTACCTAAATAATAAATGTTAATTTTGAGCGAAATTAAGAGAAATGTACATACAGTATCACAAACACGGCGATATTATTAATTTTTCTTGTTGACGCTTTATTTACACATCAGTTGAACTAACAGAGGTGCATACATAATAGAAAATGATATATAAGTATTTAAATATATGTATATGTACATATATATCGCGGATATTATTATTAATTGTACATTTGCTACGGCTATATTTTCAGAACAAAATAATCAATAATTCTGAAATTTGTGTATATCTTTACATTAATCCTTAATATCACAGTAGTTTTTCATAAAAATCCTGAGTATGTTTTAGAAGAAATTAAAAATAAAAGTCAGGAACAGAACATTGGCATCAAGGAAGACGTCGTCTTTAGTTGCGAATATCCCAATTAAAGTGTGGCAAGAATACGAAATACGACGAAACTTTTGAGAAAATTATTTGTTTTCGCATTTTTGTCTATTGCAAGCACGCACTCCGGCTACCTTTTTCCACCTCGAGATGGCGTCTAAACGCTTTCATCAACACCAACACTCTTCGCGTCTTTCACACAGAGTTACAAATAATGCGTACACTTACTCCGGCTGACTTTAGGTCATATTTAAATTTGTAACGCAAGTTTCAAAATTCTTGAAATATTCATTTAAACTATCTTAAGACAACCCTATAAATATTAGACTCATCTACGAATATAGACCTTGTAATAATCGGATATCCGATCAAACTGCCACTCGATTACAGTCACTCGATAACAATCGCGCGCGGCACGAAGTATCTTTGCGGAAAAAAGATCTCGTCCCATATTCGAGATAAAAATGAGACTCTCAATTGGTATCGTAGTGGAATAACCTATTTTGCAACAATTTCGGCTATTCTGACCGAAACCTATTGTATCTGGGGAAATTATGAGAAATTTCTACGCGGGCAAATATAAAGTTAGAGC